TGTAGAATGTCAGTGAACAAATTAAGAGGAATTAAAAAGCAACAGAGATGTGGTTTCTGAGACGAATGTACGAATACCGTGGACGGTCAGAGTAACTAACAACGATTGTTTGAAAGAAGCTAATAAAAGTAGATCTCTCCTTAATAACAATAGGAATGAGACAAACACTGTTCTTTGGCCACATAATGAGAAGAGAGACATTGGAGAACATCGTGACAACTGGAAAGATCAGTGTAAAAAAGGGGTAGAGGCAGACCAAAAGAAATGATGCTGGCTGAAACTATGGCATGGAGGGATATCATCAAGAGAGCTGGAACCAGGGATCGTGATCTGTGGAGACGCATGAGCGCCTACGCCAGTTGGCAGGGCACATGATGTTAATGATTCACCTCTGCACATAGATTTTCTTGAATTTTTAAATTTTTCTCTTTACAAATAATATTAGGTACCTGAAGCCTCGTACATGAGAACAGCAGGCTACAAGGCAATAGGCTGACCAAGAAAGAGCTGGGTGGATGCAGTAAAATAGACACTGCAGAAACGCAATACTGTATGACATTAACTGTTTTGATTAACTAGCAAATGACAGCAAACTTCATAAAAGACTTATTTGTTGCGACGCTTGGTGGCATAAGCTGCAGGACAACAGAAGAAGACGCCGGCCACCCCTCCCCCCCCCCCCAACAACACACAATTTGCAAGAGATATCTAGATTCGCACCCAACCACCCACTCACCCACACAATCCTCCCCCCCCCCCCCAACCCTTTCCGGCGCTTAATCATAAATGGAGGTTACCTGTTATTCCTCTTCGCGTGCACCTACTGTAAACTAAGGTAGAAAGTTCTCGTTGTTTGTCCACCTCTGGACCACATCCATTTAACATCTCTGGCTTATTTATATGTAAAATGTGGCTTCCTCGCCTCTCAGCAGATGCCCTCCGACTTCAAAGAAAACCTCTAATTAGTTGCCTCTTACGACCTGCTTATTAAGATGCAGTTTGTTTTTTCTAGCCCCCAAAACTGATGCTCCGGAATCTATTTAGTTCTCTTTTTAAGCTTTCTGTATACATATTTATTATTTGAAATATATTATATTCTTGACATTCTTCTTCTTTCCTTCTTCTTTGCGTTCGGTTTCGTATGCTCAGATCAGACCATCAGGTGGGTCGCCTACATGAACTCGTATATCAGTAGCAGGTCCTTTATGGTTCTCCGTAGCTTGCTGCACACTTTGCTCTTGAGGTCAGGTGTCTTTTCGAAGTTGTATGTACAGTGGGCATATCTGCAGAATGTGCTCAGGCGTTTGTGGTCCTGTTTGACAGGCACATTCTGGGGACTGTACAAACTTTATTTTATGCATGTGGTAGTTGAACCTGCAGTGTCCTGTTCGTAGACGGAAAATTGTTGTATGTATATTTTTGACATTCAGTACGTTATTATTATGACTCTGATTATTAGACAATACTAGGCTTAATCATATTATTATTATTATTATTATTATTATTATTATTATTATTAGGCAGTTATACTAGGTTTAAGCCTACTGTGGTCAAATGATGAAGAGTTAGAAAGTAAGGAGGAAGTTTGTTAACTTACTTTCATTTCAATTTTCCACAACAGCTGCGTCAACAACTCTGGGATCACCTTCTAACACTGTGAAGATAAGGATAACAACACACGCACCAACCACCACAGTACCAACATCCAGCATCACCACAACGCCCACAGCCCAAACCAGTTTGACGCCAACAACATTAAGCATCACCACGACGCCCACAACCCAAAAGAGTTTGGCGCCAACAACACTGGGGATTACCACAACGCCCACAACCCAAAAGAGTGTGGCGGCAACATTATTGAGCATCACCACAACGCCCACAACCCAAAAGAGTGTGGCGCCAACAACACTGGGCATCACCACGACGCCCACAACCCAAAAGAGTGTGGCGCCAACAACATTGGGCATCACCACGACGCCCACAACCCAAAAGAGTGTGGCGCCAACAACACTGGGCATTACCACGACGCTCACAACCCAAAAGAGTGTGGCGCCAACAACATCGAGCATCACCACAACTCCCACAACCCAAAAGAGTGTGGCGCCAACAACACTGGGCATCACCACAACGCCCACAACCCAAAAGAGTGTGGCGCCAACAACACTGGGCATCACCACAACGCCCACAACCCAAAAGAGTGTGGCGCCAACAACATTGAGCATCACCACAACGCCCACAACCCAAAAGAGTGTGGCGCCAACAATATTCACAACAACTGTTCTTACTACAACAACTCAAATCCCAAACACTGGAGCAGATACTACAACCAGTCTCCCATCAACAAACAGTACAGATGGTATAACAGCCTGGAAACCAGTTTCTAGTACACCGATAACAACCATGAGAATGTCCGCTCCTAATGCACGTAAGCTTCATTTTAATTTTTTTATTCCTAAAAAAAACGAATTTTGTTTTCGCTCACGCGGCGTGGATTGGGGCTAAACTAGCACTCACGAGCAACAGCTACCGCATCTCCTGCAACTTCCTTCATTTTATTTGCTCGTGGGTCCTAGCCATCTAGTTTAGCCCCAATCCAAGCCGCGTGAGCGGCGTCAGGGATACCGTCGGCGGTGGCGGAAGTTGCCGGAAGTTCGCAATTCGAAGGTGGCGTTATAGTCCCCGGAAGTGCGCAATTGACAAGTGACTGAGGCCCTGTTAAGGTATATTTTCCGCCTCGATAATTTAGGACCGTTATTCGGAGGATAGCCGATAATCTTACTAACACTGATTGATTTGATTTGATTCAAGAACCGACATCACAGCACTCGGAGCATTCCCGTAAGCTCCCCGTCCCCATCTTCAGCAGCCAGCGAAGAGTTCCGATACTAATGGTGCCAGTAGCATTCTGATTAAACTTCTGTCTTGCCTTTCCTTTGAGCTCTTACTAACACTGAGTCAGTATACTGACAGATTTATTATTCTTGTATTTTAAGGACTTTATTTATTTTGATTTTTTTATATGATTAAATATGTTTATTGAGTGTTAATTTGTACGTTTACATTTTTTGCCGCACTTTGTACTTTGTAATGTTGGGGTTAACTACACACGTTGCCGTTTGTTCCTGTTAATGATACTGTGTGTATCTATACACAGTTTTAAAAAAAAAGATAAATCAAAATGATAACGTTCTATACATTAGGTATATTACTAAAATTATAAATGATTATCATGATGAAATGACGGTTACGTTATATTTATTTTTGTTAAATTATAATTATGAGTTAAATCAGTAGGGGCGGAAACTTGGAGAACAACTAAAACTAATCAAACTTTTCTAATTAAAAAAAGGTGAAGGACCCTTTTCCACGCCTTTTGGCGTATAGGGCAAATAGGGCTAGACCTATTTTTTTTTTTTTTTAATAGACTAATCAGCACAAAATGGGTGATGTGGTCAGCATCACGCCCCCGCTTCTACTTCCCAGGAATGCACCCGGTACCCACTCAAGGCTGGGTCAACCTGGCCGTTACGGTCATATTAGAAGAAAAAAAAGTTCAGCTCCACCAGGGAACGACACACGACCTTCCAAACCGTTGTGAGCGTCTAGCCACTCCGCCACAGTGACTCCCTTTTCGAATAAACTGGGAAAACAAATTATTTTGTTTGAAAACGAAGATACGTAATTTAATTTCTTTGTAGAAAGTTCATGGAACTGCTGAAGATGGGGATGGAGCGCTTATGGAAGTGTCCCAGGTGCTGTGATGTCTACCACTAATTCAACATTTAACATTCTAATTAATTTTGTTTCACTTTTAACAAGTTAAAGTTAAAGAACCACTAAAGAAAGTGAATGAAAATTATCAGCGTTTAAAAAACAGTGGTCTGAGGAAAACGATGAAAATAAAATGAGATGAACTCAAAATTAACGAAGAAATCAGAGAGATGTCTGGGTAAGCACTAGTATCGATAGTTATAAGACAGAGAGCTCTGTTCGCTAGCGTAGTTGGTTAGAGCTGACTTCGCGACGGCCGGGTGACGAACTCCTTGTGGTCCGGGTTCATTCCCGGGGGTAGGCAGAAAAGCCACATTTCTCCCAGATTGACGGTACCTATCATGGAATCAAAGCCGAAGGGTTGCGATATCCATAGTACCTAGCCAAGGGTTTACAACTCATGGTTTCTGGATACTTAAAAAAAAAAATAAGACAGAGAAGATAGTGTTACGTTGGACACATCCTGAGAAGAAACCAGCAGATGATCACCAAAACAGACATTAAAATAGGAAATAAGGGCATTAAGGAACTGATTGCACGGAATTGAACGGAATGGAGGAATAGACGGCCAGTCTCGTGTGAGATATAATGTCCCAACAGGAGAGTGAACGAATGAAAATGAATAAATAAACAGAAAAATGCATTCACTTGTTCCAATGCAGAACAGCGGGAACGCACTGATATAGAATCACTTAATATGAGCTTTGTATGGCTGCGTGATCTCGAGGCATAGTGTCCACCTCGATTGCTGGAGGTCCCGGGTTCAAGTCCCGGTGAAGGCAAGGATTTTTTTCACAACTTCTAGTAATTTTCCCTGTTTTTTGGGTAGTCAGATCAGACGCCCGTGTGTATTGTTGTCCACGTAAACAAAATACCTTGGCAGTTGAAAATCGAATAAAAGTAGCCTAACGGAGCTGCCCGGGTAAAATTTAGAGTTTTAAATCTACTCAAAATATTTCAGGATCCCCTCGCCGGTGCTACGGAGTTCGTGCACTGCGCTCAGATTCTTCGGACTCGGGCTTAAGTTAGAAGTAGAACGGAAAATTTACGGGGTACGACTCTTATGCCATGATGTTGATCCACTGTTCAAACCAACTTTATATGAGCTTTGAAAAAGAACTACACTAATTTTAGTAAATCAAGAGATGATGAAAAGACGCTGCCGTTGGATAGGAACTACGTTAGGACAACTGGAGAATAATGTAACTAATTTTTTTTTTTCTTTGCAGAACTGTGCAACAGCGCTGTAATCCTTAACAGTTCCGGGTTAACTCGGTTGCCAGGCAGCTGCGACATCTTTGTTCATTGTCGATTTGAAGGTGACGCCCCGTCTCCAACAAACACAATGCGTTGTTCCGATGGTCTTTTGTGGAACCAGGTCACACTTACCTGTGATTATGCCAGGAATGTAAAGTGCGAGTCAGGTTAGTAAGTTTGTTGGTCGACAAGATTATCCTCATTGTACATTGTACAATGAACTATTCATTACATAAATGGTCGGATCTCCGGCTCTTCTTTAAATAACGGTCGCTAGCTGGAAAGCCGACGGTCGCTTAGTCGGAGTTCACTCCCTTGGTTGCAGTGCAAATACGGAGCGGAAAAGTCACGAACCAAAAAAGAAAGTGAGGTCCACATGCCTGCTAGAGCTACACCACGCGCTGCGACTGACATTAGCGACCGCGTTCTTCCGACGCACGACGTAGTGACCGTAGATGTGAGACCTGCGGATCTGTGTGTCGTAATGAGCGATAAGCTTCCGTCGTGTCCGTGATGTGTCACCCTAACCTACCCATAACCCTAACCCTACCCCAAACCCTACCCCAAACCCTAACCCAAACCCTAACCCAAACCCTAACCCTACCCTAACCCAAACCCTAACCCTAACCCTAACCCTAAACCTAACCCTAACCCTACCCCTAACCCTACCCCAAATCCTAACCCAAGCCCTTAGCCTAACCCTAGGATGACGGGTTAACTATATCATTTGTTTCGTTCCCTCTTTACCACTCCGTATTTGCACTGCAACCAAGGGAGCGAACTCCGACTAAGCGACCGTCGGCTTCCCAGCTAGCTGGGAGCAAAACTAGATGGCTGGGACTCACGTGCAAATAAATTGGAGGAAGTTGCAGGAGATGCGGTAGCGGCGGCTATTGAATCCTAACCATCTAGCGTATCCTCCTATCCGCGCCGCGCGTAGCGGCGCGGAGATACGTTCGGCGGTGAGTTTAAAGGGAAGAACACTATCGCTAACCTGCGTCGGAGCTCGTGGTCTCCCCGCCATGTCGCTAATATAGTGTGTATTGTTGCGTTTCTCGAAATTGTCAACAGACAGTAATCCTAGTTTTACCGCGATTTGTTCGTCGGAGGAAGTCCGCATTTTACACACGACTGAGGCCCTCTAAGGGTATTTGTTTGGCCGCCATAATATGGGGACGAAGATCGAAGGATAGCCAAATGTCCAATAGTATGGGGCGGGGAGGGGGATAGGGGGAGGGCGATAGTGTTAGGGATTTTGTTAAATTAATAGCAACTATTATTAACCCTAACCGCCCCCCTCCCCCCCCCCCCCTCATACTATAGCATGTTCTAGGTATTTCCCTACCAAATCTCGTCAATGTAGTGAATTACTAGAAAAGAACCCAGGATGGTACATGGCTTGTCCTCCTTTCACAGTAGCTTTACTTGCAAGCTTATCAGCTTGCTCATTTCATTACACACTTGCGTGCCCTAGCCCACACACAAATGAAACTTCTTCCTCTTTATTTCGCTTGAAATAGATTATCTATATCTGCAATGTTGTCTTTAGTATTATGTCACTGTCTGTTGACTTACTAACTAGCGATTGACTAATTAATGACTAACTAAAGATTGACTAACTAACGATTCATTAATTTATGTTTGACTGACTAACCAATGACTGACTAACTAACGATTGACTAACTGATGACTAATTAGCTAACGACTGATTAAGTAACAACTGATTAACTAACGATTGACTAACTAACGACTGACTAACTAAAGATTGACTAACTAATGACTGACTTACTATCGATTGACTAACTAACTAACTAACTAACGACTGACTAACTAAAGACTGACTAACTAACGATTGACTAACTAACGATTGACTAACTAACGATTGACTAACTAACGACTGACTAACTAACGACTAACTAACGATTGACTAACTAATGACTGACTAACTAATGACTGACTAACTAACGACTGACTAACCTAACGACTAACTAACGACTGACTAACTAATGACTGACTAACGACTGACTAACTAACGATTGACTAGCTAACGATTGACTAACTAATGATTGACTAACTAACGATTGACTAACTTACGACTGACTAACTAACGACTAACTAACTAACGACTAACTAACTAATGACTGACTAACTAACGATTGACTAACTAACGATTGACTAACTAATGACTGACTAACTAACGACTGACTAACTAATGACTGATTAACTAACGATTGACTAACTAACTATTGACTAACTAACGATTGACTAACTAACGACTGACTAACTAACGACTGACTAACTAAGAAACAACTGACTAACTAACGACTGACTAACTAACGACTGTTTCTTCAATAGGCAGTAGCTGCTACAACAAACAAGCAGTGTCAGAGAACAAGGGAGAGTACCTTCTGCTGACCAAAACTGGATGGGTTGTCTCCTTCTGTCCGGATGGCATGGGTTTCAATCTGAGCACATGCAGTTGTTCGGACAAGTTTGTGTTCGAGCATTTACGTAAGTGAATGTTTGTGTACGAGCATTTACGTAAGTGAATGTTTGTGTTCGAGCATTTACGTAAGTGAATGTTTGTGTACGAGCATTTATGTAAGTGAATGTTTGTGTTCGAGCATTTATGTAAGTGAATGTTTGTGTACGAGCATTTACGTAAGTGAATGTTTGTGTACGAGCATTTATGTAAGTGAATGTTTGTGTACGAGCATTTACGTAAGTGAATGTTTGTGTACGAGCATTTATGTAAGTGAATGTTTGTGTACGAGCATTTACGTAAGTGAATGTTTGTGTTCGAGCTTTTATGTTAGTGAATGTTTGTGTTCGAGCATTTATGTTAGTGAATGTTTGTGTTCGAGCATTTATGTTAGTGAATGTTTGTGTTTGAGCATTTACGTAAGTGAATGTTTGTGTTCGAGCATTTATGTAAGTGAATGTTTGTGTTCGAGCATTTATGTAGGTGAATGTTTGTGTTCGAGCATTTACGTAAGTGAATGTTTGTGTTCGAGCATTTATGTTAGTGAATGTTTGTGTACGAACATTTATGTTAGTGAATGTTTATGTACGAGCATTTATGTCAGTGAATGTTTGTGTACGAGCAATTATGTTAGTGAATGTTTGTGTACGAGCATTTATGTAAGTGAATGTTTGTGTACGAGCATTTATGTAAGTGAATGTTTGTGTACGAGCATTTATGTAAGTGAATGTTTGTGTACGAGGATTTATGTAAGTGAATGTTTGTGTACGAGGATTTATGTAAGTGAATGTTTGTGTACGAGCATTTAGGTAAGTGAATGTTTGTGTACAAGCATTTATGTGTGTCAATGTTTGTGTACGAGCATTTAGGTTGGTGAATGTTTGTGTACGAGCATTTATGTTAGTGAATGTTTGTGTACGAGCATTTATGTAAGTGAATGTTTGTGTACGAGCATTTATGTAAGTGAATGTTTGTGTACGAGCATTTATGTAAGTGAATGTTTGTGTGCGAGCATTTATGTATGTGAATGTTTGTGAACGTGCATTTATGTAAGTGAATGTTTGTGTACGAGCATTTATGTTAGTGAATGTTTGTGTACGTACAGTTATGTTAGTGAATGTTTGTGTACGAACATTTATGTAAGTAATGTTTTTGTAGATAGCTCGAGCTGGAGCCTGGGAGCCTAATCGTGCAAGTGAATGCTTGTGTGAGTTTTTGTGTAAGTAAATATTTGTGTGAATGAGTGTTTGTGTGAGTGACTATTTGTGTGAAAGAATGTTCGAGCAACTGCTTGTGTGAGTGAAAATGAATTTATGTGTGAATGGATGTTAATGTGAATGTTTGTATGAGTGAATATTTGAAAGCGAATGTGGGTGAGAGAATATTTGTTTGAGTACATTTGTGTGTGTATGAATCAATGTTTACGTAAGTGAATGTTGAATTGAGTGCATGTTTGTGGGAGTGAGTCTGTGAGTAATTATCTGAGTAAGTGTTTGTGTTAGTGAATGTTTGAGTGATTAAATGTTAGTTTGACTGTATGTTTGTGGGAGTGAGTCTGTGGGTAAGTATCTGAGTAAGTGTTTGTGTTAGTGAATGTTTGAGTGATTAAATGTTAGTTTGAGTGTATGTTTGTGGGAGTGAGTCTGTGAGTAAGTATCTGAGTAAGTGTTTGTGTTAGTGAATGTTTGAGTGATTAAATGTTAGTTTGAGTGTATGTTTGTGGGAGTGAGTCTGTGGGTAAGTATCTGAGTAAGTGTTTGTGTTAGTGAATGTTTGAGTGATTAAATGTTAGTTTGACTGTATGTTTGTGGGAGTGAGTCTGTGAGTAAGTATCTGAGTAAGTGTTTGTGTTAGTGAATGTTTGAGTGATTAAATGTTTAGTTTGATGTTAGTTTGAGTAAGTAATCTGACTGTATTTGTTTGTGAATGGAGTGAGTCTGTGAGTAAGTATCTGAGTAAGTGTTTGTGTTAGTGAATGTTTGAGTGATTAAAAGTTTGACTGTATGTTTGTGGGAGTGAGTCTGTGAGTAAGTATCTGAGTAAGTGTTTGTGTTAGTGAATGTTTGAGTGATTAAATGTTAGTTTGAGTGAATGTTTGTGGGAGTGAGTCTGTGAGTAAGTATCTGAGTAAGTGTTTGAGTGATTAAATATTAGTTTGAGTGTATGTTTTTGGGAGTGAGTCTGTGAGTAAGTGTTTGTGTTAGTGAATGTTTTGAGCAATCGAATGTTAGTGTGATTGAATGTTTGCGTGAATGATTGTTTATGTAATTACAAGTTTCGTGAATGAATGTTTGTGGGAGTGAATACTTGTGTGAACGAATAAGTGTTTGCGAAATGAATTCTTATGTAAATAAATTTTTATGAATTTTTCCTGTGTGTATAAGTAAACATTCCTGTGTGTGAATGTGTACACTAGCGCGCAATATTTAGTCTCAAAATAAACACCTGTTTTGAGTATCTGTAAAAGTCGAGTCATTGAAGGACCCCGTTACGCTAGCGGGGAATCGAGCATCTAATACCAGACTCGTTTTAAAGACAACTCGGCACTTGGTTGGGATGTAGTGAATATCACACTGATCACATTTGCTTTCCAGCTAATTTCCTTGTACCCTATTATTTACATGTTGCTGTGCACGGTGACTCCACGTCCTATTTCCACTTTGGTGCCTTTTTTTTCCGGTACCA